TGTAATTACAGCATGTCAGAGCAGTCTCGATGCACGTGTACAGGCTCCCAAGGTGACTGAGGAAAGCCTTTAGTATAAGTTTGCAGCAAGACTCAAATTCATCTCTCTAAATCAATGGTTTTCAATCAGGGTGCTGAAACACTGAAAGGTGCCTCAAGAGCCTTTCAGGGGTGCCATGCAATGGGTGCTGCCATCACTGGAACAGGGTGAAACAGCCCCATGTGCTTTGTGTGGAGCCAGACAGGGAACAGCTGCAGCAAGAGCATGTACTCCTGCCTGAATCACGGTAATCCAAAAAACCTAAAACAGGCAGGAGTGATAAGCAGGGATCCTAGTTTTCTGTTCACAATGGAAAAATGGAATTTGCATTTTTCCCGCAACCTACCAAAAGTGTGGCAGGATCCCATGATGCCATTTCTGCTCTTATTTTTCCTGCAGGTTTTTGCCCCTCAGCCAATCAGCAGCAGGGGGAGAGGGAAGTGCACTGCTGATTGTTTGCCAGGAAAGAACCATAGCAAAAATAAAAGAGAGCAGAAATGGGTATCCAGGGGTCAACAAAACCCTCTGTGCTGCTCCCCTGGAGTGCAGAGAACAACAAAATTTGCAGTATGTGGCTCATCGGACTGTAGCCATAGTGGCTAGTTCATTCTTTTAAGACATTGGGGAAAGGAGAGAATTCCTAGCTTTTTGAGTGAGTGAGGGTGTTTTCTCTATTTCTCATTAGAATTATAGCTCAGATTCTGTCAGTTAAGGTGAATAAGGGTGCTAGAACTGGGAGCTTTTTTTTTGAAAGAACATTCTTGTTCGTTTTTCATCGCTCTAAAGCTCTTTTTCTTTTTTAGGATTACTGTTTGGAAACTTAAGCATGAAACCTGCTTTCTTTCCAAAGACATTTTTTCTCCATGCAATGAATTGTTATTCATGAACTTTGGCCTTTTGGCTATTTTTTTAAACAAAGAAAAAAATCTATGCCAGTAAATTGTTTTAAAATAATGAATATATGCAAGAAGAGATGTAATTGTGTAAATGTTCAGCTTGGGCCTAATGCCCACAGTAATGTTTCTTAAACTCTTCATTATTTTGATGTTCCATTACTTGAAGCATCTACAGAAAGCAGAGTCAAGACAAGAAAATTCTCCACATCTGAATAGCTTAGGGAAGAAAAAAATAACTTACCTACAGATTTTTAGGAAAGAGGCCTGCTGCATAAAAAGAAAGAACGTGTTATAAATGTTTCATCACTGAAAGACTTCTTGTGTGTTTAAGATGGAAGATAGATTACAAATACATTTTAAAACACTCTAAATATTGTGACAAAAGAGAACAAAATGTCTGAAATCATAATAAAATAAGTTTTATGACAGTCTCCCAAAAGGCAAACAAAACCATTGTAGTTGATGCTCAACTGTTGCCCAACAGGCAAACAACATTAAACAGACAATTGCTTCTACCTAGGAAGCTCTATTTGGAAGAGAATGATCACAGGTTGGCCTAAACCAGCGAGTGGCACTCAGCCTGTTTTCCTAATGAGAAAAATAAACAAAAGTGCACAAACTCTGGCAAATCAAATGTAAAACTGTAATAAAACAAACTAGGAAGGAATTCAAGGAAAAACTTGCTAGAAACATAAAAGGTAACAATGAAAATATCATTAAGTACATAGAAGCTGAAAAACTGCCAGGGAGTAAATTGGATCTTTGGGTGATCAGAGTGCAAGGGGAATGCTAAAGGATAATGGGGCCACTGCTAAGAAACTTACTGTATTCTTTGCATATGATTTCACTGTAGAAGATCTTAGGGAGATTCCCTCACCAGATCCACTTCTCTCTAGGGACAAGTCTGACAAGTTGGCACAAATCGAGGTTTCAGTAGATGAGGTTGTAGAGGATATTGATAAACTAAACAGTAGCAAATCACCAGGACTTGATGGCATTCACCCTAGAGTCCTGAAGGAGCTCAGATAGGAAATTGCCAAACTCCTACCTATAGTACACAACCTAGCACTAAAAACAGCCTCTATACCAGAGGATTGGAAGGTTGCCAATGTGACTCCAATATTCAAAAAGAGCTCTAGAGGGGAACTACAGGCTGATCAGTCTAACTTTTGTTTCTGGAAAACTGGTAGGAATAATAATTTTTTTTTTTAATTGTTCAGCACATGGATGAATATGACATGCTGGGGAAGAATCAGTATGGTTTTCTCAAAGGGAAATCATGCCTCAACAACCTCCTAGAGTTCTTTGAGGGTGTCAATAAGCATTTGGATCAAGGTTATCCAGCTGACACAGCATACTGGGACTTCCAAATGGCCTTTCACAAAGTCCCCCATCAAAGGCTCTTAATTAAGTTGGGTAGTCACAGGATTACAGGGAGGGTCCACTTGTGCATTAGAAACTGGCAAGCATAGAAAACAAAAAATAAGTATAAGTGGTCAGTTTTCAGGACAGGAAGAAGTAAACAGCAAGGTCCCCCAGGGATCTATTTTGGGACCGGAGCTGTTTAACATATTCATAAATGGTTTGGAAAAAGAGATGGCAGATGACAAAACATTATTCAAAGTGATGAAGACCAAGGTGGACTGTGAGGAGCTACAGAAGATTCTTGTACTATGGAGTAAATTGGCAACTAAGTGGCAGATAAAATTCAGTGAAGATTAGTGCAAAGTGATGCACACGAGGAAAAAAATTATCCAAAGTATACCTACACTATGATGGGCTCTACATAGCTGTTACCACACAGGAAAGAGATCTGGGAATCATTGTGGACAGTTTGCCAAAAACATCCCCTCAGGGCTCAGCAGCCATGGAATAGGCAAACAAAATGTTACAGGGATAAAGGTTGTAGCCGTGTTGGTCTAAAAGCAAAAGCAGTCAATGTGGTATAGGCATTACCTTTCATTAGACCAACTAGATAGTTGCAAAAAAATTTCTTTGAGCAAAATATTAGGAATTATTAAGAAGAGAATTGTAAACAAAACAGAAAATATCATTATGCTCCTTTATAAATTCATGGTGCACACCTTGAATACTGTGCCCAGTTCTGGTCCCCACCCCTGATAAAGGATATAAAAGAACTAGAGAAGGAACAAGGAAGGGCAATAAGGATGATTAGTGGTATAGAGGGACTTTCACTTGAGGAGAAACTAAACAGGCTAGACCTATTCAGTTTAGAAAAGAGATGCTTGAGGGGGGACATGATAAGGGTTTACAAAATACTAAATGGTGAAGATAAAGTAAATAGGGATTTACTATTCACCATCTCACAATACAAAAACTAGCAGGTCATAAAATGAAACTAGTAGGTAGTAAGTTTAAAACTAACAAAAGGAAGTTCTTTATCACACAGCATGTCATTATAGAACTCATTGCCACCAGGTGTTGTTTAACCTGATACTTTAGCCAGATTTAAAAAAAAAAAGGGATTGGACAAATTCTTGGAGGAAAGGAGCATTGATAGTTATTAAACATGGGAGTTAGGGGTACAGCCTCTGAACCAGAACTGCCTAGAGGCTGCAAGTAGGAGAGAAACAGGGGAAAATCCTGGTCATACCCTGTTCACTCTCCCTTTCAGCATCCACTCTGTGCCATTGTGACACATGATACTGGGCAAGATGGATCTGAGGTGTGATACAGTAAATGGTAGTTCTTATGTTCTTCCGGCCCCCATGGGCCAGATAAGTGGTGCAGGCCCAGTCCCTGGGGTAGATTCTTCATGGGATCAACATACCTGGATTGAGCCTCACAATGCCTTGACTTGGCCCCACCTGCCTGGATCAGGCTCCATGCTGCCTCTGTACCACCCTGGCCCTGCACACTTGATTTGACATGCAGGACCATGCTATCTGGACCACTGGCTTCCCACAGGTCTGGAAATGTGGCTGCAGGTGAACGGCAATTCATGCTACCACCACTCCCCAGCCATCAAATTTCTGGACCCATGGGGAGCCCGGTTGGGTGAATTAAATGGCTCAACAGGCCAGATCTGGCCCATGGGGTTGAGCACCCCTGGCCTGAAATTTCAAAGTTATTTTTCATCCTATAACCAAAAGACAAACAGGAATTTCAAACCTTGGCTTAATCCTCACCTTGAACTCAGTCAAAATTCTAGATGTTCTATAGCATCAAGACATATTTTACTGATCAAATTATGGAGCTTCATGGTGTGGACACACACACAACATTTACCCCAGAGTATTTTTAATTTACTCTGGCAAAAAAAAGTGAAGCATACATGACACCCATCATTTATTCCAGAAGAAATCCCGTTCTCTGGAGTAAAGTTACTTCTGAAGAAGTCAAAAGTAAATATGTACCAGAGAAAGTTACTCTGGTCTACCTGTCATGTATCTGCTACCACCATTTCATTCTGAAGTTAACTATTTGCTCAATACAAACCTAGTGGTCAGAAATTATAAATGCATGTACTTCAGGCAGCCAGCTGGTAAAAACTGGCCATATGTCTATTTCTTAGTACAGAGTAAATTTAATGAGGAGTAAAATACAGGACAAATTACTCCAGAGTAAACATACTGTCTCTGTACCATCCATTTGTTAGTAGCACCCAGCACTCCCTGTTTGTCTTTGATTACACATACTACAGATGTAATGAATGAAAAATCCCTTTAACAATAGGCCACATTAGAGGAGTCTGCTTTCTGTCATGTGTTTTCCAGTGTCACCATACACAGCAGTTCTCTAGCTGGAAAACCAGAAAAGTCTGTCTGACATCTTACCAGTGCACCTCACAAGGGGTAAATTCAACCCTGTCAACATACACAGGAATATTTCTTATGACTCTAGTAGGGGTTGGATCAGATTTTTAAATTGTGGTTTTTTAAAATGTTTTTTCCCCTGAATCATGGTGAGCTGTCATCTACACTAACACAATTTGGTAAATTACTACAGGTGCTATAATTGCAGGATCTAAGGGTCCAATCCTCTTCCCTTTAAGGTTAAAGAATTAAGCTGTTACATCTGACATTAAGAAGAGGAGATTTTCATTTTCAAAAGGAAAAAGTCAGCAGGACCAAATCAGTCTTAAATACACGGCTCAAACCATCAATGTACCTTCAAAGTTCTCCCCACACCAAGAAAAAGGTCAATAACTGGATGTTTGCCAGCAGTGAATGCTCTCTCTGGGACTCATTAGTGACTGGCAACCATAGCACAGCTAGGAAAGCATGCAGTACTAATTATATGTTAAAAGAACCAAAGCATCTTGTTACAGTGCAATTACATTATTGGAACTGGCCTTTCACATATTGATTACCTCTTTCTGCACAAACTTCTGGAATCCACAGGTAACAACTTCAGCTGCATTGTGTACAGTAAGGAACACAGGAATTGGCTGCCATAGAAAAGATAAACGATGATCTAAATTAGCACCTTAATTCACTACACTCAGCCATTCTTAGTTATTTTCCTATTCCTGTCTATTGATATAAAACTTGGGTGTTATTTATAGCGTGCTCAATTACACCGTAGACGAGAGTTTTACAGCTTGTAAGTGTCTTTGAGGAGAGCTGCCACAGAGTAGGAGAGAAGTACATAATGGTTAACCCCCAAGCAGTACTGGGATGATGCCTATGAACTCAACGGTGACCAAGGGCCTCTGGCTGGTACCACAATATGTTTCTTAATGACTCAGACTATAGTGATAGTCTGGAGCTGGGCTCTCTCAACTTCAAATGTAGTCAATTAGAACTGCACCAAACTTTGTGAAACTCAGACCTGAGGTATCTCAAATAGACAGCCAAAGCCTAAGGCAACCTAAATCTCCTGAGGACTGTTCTCCTGTCTATGGGAAATACATATTTCCCTCACATGAATATAAACATGAGTTCATTTTTTCAAGATTCTCAGATGATAGATAAGCACCAAACATATCTTTGGTTTTACTTTGCAAAGAAGCCAGAAATGTGTGTGTCTGGATTTTGTTTTTCTTTCATGCATAGCTGGACATATTCTCATTACTAAAGCATTTCTCATCATAAATGACAATTCAGATGGAGCTACAAATGTAACATTTATGCAATTGCAATGATAATGTTAGATACCTTTAAACTAGCCATAAAATGGGTTAGGGGGAAAGTGCAGTGAGACAGCAAATTGTCAGCTGCTTTTTCACTGGCACTGTTAACATAACAACAATTTCTGACCCTACAGCTGGACTTTGATTTCTGCAAGCTCAACACAATAAAAGGAAACAGCAGAAATAATGATATACAACAAAAGTTGACACCAAAAACTGCATTCTTCATTCTGTGTTTTTTTCTTGCCTTTTTTTCTTTCTTTCTTCTTTTTCTTTTTTTGCTGTTGGCTTCTCTTAAAGCCAAAAAATTGTTTTGGAGCAAACATTGGCTCCAGCTTGCCCAGCTCAGTTAAACTTCTCCATATGTTTATTGTCTTTGATGCAAATATTTTTAAATTTGTAAGTGGCTTTAATGTTCATGAAAGGAAGGATTTTCTGGCTTGAGCCAGGCAGTGAGACTGGATTCAGTGCAAACTTCCCCACCATATAGTTCTAGTAATGCATCTCAGACCAGACCCAGACAAACTTCTTCCAGTTGCAGCCCCAAAGGTCTCTTGAGCGGGAGGTGATGCCAGTGCTCCTTTGATGTAAACAAATGTGGATTTAGAGCTCAAACATGCAAATGCTTATGTGCATAAGCTGCTCACAGAAGTTTTTGTAGATTTGGGCCCTTGGCTTGGAACATCAAGTTTATTTTACTTGATCAATAAACCTGTTGAATCCAAGGGCCAAATACACTGCTGAAGTGAACAGGCCTCATCCCAGTGGTCTGTTGAATCAATTTTCCTTAATTCAAAGTTGTATGCCTGTCGTGGATTTAGTTACTGATGCCCCCTCCACACATTACAAGTATTGCACAATTGCCTGGAGACCAGCTACATGTACAAAGTAGCTATCACAAAATAAAAAGCTCCAACCAACTATAAGAGACCTAAAAAAGTGTGTCAAGGAAGCTCTTTACCTGTATGTGTAGAAGGGGCCTAAAGCATGTATTTAGGAGCCAACTTCACTCTATATAAGACTCAATCCACCAATTAGGGCCCATGACTCTGTTGAAACTATTCACATGAATAAACTGCTCATACGTTAACTGTTGGAGGATTTGGCCCTAAATCCCCATCTGTGCATGTTGCAAAACCCTCAGGTACAACTGGCAGTGTCTCTTATAGGAAGATTTAGGGCACAGAGGAAAAATTTAGGAAACCCCCCTTCACGTATATGCATCCTCCAACTAGAACTGGGATCTCACCTGTCCTTCCTTCTAGCAGTCCCCACTCTCCTGGATATTCACATGTCCACAAAGTAGGAAACAAGATTACCTAATTTCCATTCAAAAGAGGAGTGGGTGAGTCAAGAGCACAGTGTGGAGGATGCTCTTTCCTCCTCCTCTATCCCATGGAAAGTAGGCAGGAAAGGCTATGCAGCCGGAGCCTGCTATTGTTTCTATACAGCCTTTTCTTAAAGAATTGTGGTAAACTTTGGTAGGCAGGAGAAGCCCAGCAAAGCCAAAATGGCATCAACAAAGGTCAGGAGGAGGCAGAGACAATCTGGAAGCACATGACCCCTTTACAAATTGCACCAATTCCCTGAAGATCACCTAGGCTAGGAACAGAGGTTACACATAAACTGGTTTAAATGAGCAGAAACTGGTTTAAATCTGTAACAGAACATAAGGTCAGTGCACATAAACCACTTTCAAAATGGCTGAAACCAGTTTGAGATAAACCTAGTTGAATGTAGTATCAGACTAAACTGATTGAAACCAAATTGGTTTATGGAACATCTGCCCCAGACCCCTTCCTGGTTTAAGTTAAACCAGTCCCCCAGCATCCCAGTTGCTTTGCAGCCCTGGGCAGGGCTGTGCAGAGCAGGCCTGGCCCCACCCCCTCTCCCTAGCCAGAGCATAGATTCATAGATGTTAGGGTCGGAAGGGACCTCAATAGATCATTGAGTCCG